GGGGGGGGGGGGGGGTAAAAGGGAGGGGAAAGAGAAAATAGGTATAAGAGAGTATACCTACGAACTTATAGTCTAGAGTACTTATAACTATACTATATAAAATAATTTAGACCAACCCGACTTTATTATTTAGCTCTACTTATAGTGTAGGAACAAAATAATTAACCAATTAATTAATACTCTAAATTATTTAGATTTAATTTAATTTAATTTAATTAATAGGTCTAGTTAATTTAATTTAATTAACTAATTTATTAATTAGATTATTAATTGATTAATATAGACTATAAATAGTAACTAAAGTATAAAGTAATTATTCTTTAATAACGCGTTTTTTAGTAGTAAATCCTCGTTTTTATTTATGAAATACCTCTAGCTTTTTACCTAGACTTATTACTAGTAAAGCCTCTAGAGTCTCTTTTATTATTATATTCCTATTCCACAAGATAATTCGAAGTAAGTTATATAATTTCATGTAACCTACTATACTAGTTATAATAAATAATTAGTACTATACCTATAAGCCTTCTACTAAAGTAAGGGAAGAGTCTTATTATATAAAAGTTTTATAAGCTCTACTTATACGTTATATAAGAAGGTCGAACTACCTCGAACTCTACCCTAATTCTCGGACTAACCAGACTTCGTATTAATCTAAATTAATCTAATTACTTAGTAATTTAATTTAATTAATTAATAAATTAATCTAATTTAATTTAAATAAGTACTCTTGATTAATGAATTAAATTAAATCGTTTTCTACGCTGTCTACCTATTATAAAAAGCAACATTTACGATTTGCGATTTACGATTTAGTCGATAGTGACCTAAGTGTATAATTAGGATGCCGTAGTTACGGCATCCCGAATCTACTACTAAACCAAATGACTTAATCGCAAATCGTAAATCGTAAAAGTTATATATTTACTACTACTATGCCAGAGTGCCAATACCCCCACGCCCCCACCCTCGCTCAAACTTCGTAGCCTTGAAATTTTCACGTGTCCTATATACTCGCTACCCTCGCTGTCGCACCCCCCTCCCCCCCCCGCCGCTGTCACCTGTACCTACTGTCGTATGGGGGTTGTGCCCTAGTATGTTATTTAGAAGAGAAATAGAGAGGGTAGCCGAGGGGGACAGAAGTCGGGAAAAGTTTTTAGTCGTGCGTGTCGCTTATTCCTAGCCCCCGAATACTACCTTCCTAAAAAGGTTAGGCTAGTACATGTTACGCTAATAATTGTTTACTACTTGTCTATCCTCTCTCCCCCTCTTACTTTCTCTTCTCTTTCTTTCCGACACTATATTACGACAGCGAGTATCCGAAAGCTAGAGTTAGAGGGAGCATAAGAGGGGTAGGGTAGAGGACGGGGGTCCTACGGGGGTGAAAGAATATAGGGGTATAGTACGTGCGCGACACGTGACTCGCGAGGGATCCTATATAAAAATAGGGGTGAGAAAAGGGGGCGTAAAAGGGTTATAGTAGAGAATATATATTCTATAGAATACTATAAATTTAACAGACTAATTAATAACTCTGTTCTTTAGCTCTTCCTCCTCTATAAAGTAACTTTTACGATTTACGATTTACGATTTAGTTATCTGGTTTAGTAGTAGATTCGGGATGCCGTAGTAGTTATCTAGGAACTACTTACATCTAAGAAAATCTCAAAAAGTGTAAACAATTCGAACTTTTTCATCTTATCATCTTATCATCTTCTCGAGTCAGAGGTCCTATAATATAAGAGAAAAGTGGTACTAAAATCATGGTCAACCAACGTTCGGCATCTGGAATTCCATTCCATTCCAGACCTCCCCTCTAGAAGGACTCTATTCCATTTAGTATATTAATAGAAGGAGTCTATTCTAGAGGTGGGTATTCCATAGAGTTTTATAGAATTCCAGCTGGAATTTGTTATATGACCCGGAAAATGTTTCCCAGGTCCGGTAGTTTAGTCTTAGACTACTGTAATAGCATCTTTATATGTAGGGGGTAGGAAGGAGTACTCATAATATAATAGAGTCCTAGATATATCACGTAAAAGACCCTTATCTACTCTCGCCACTCTACCTAGATATAGCTATTCACTTGAATATATATTAATATTTGCTATAAGTGGAATTCAAAAAAATATGGAAGTCCCGGAATTCTAGAGGGTACTCGATAGAAGGAGTCTCTTCTATTCAAAGACGCTCTAGAAGGACTCTAGGAAGAATAGAGTCTATGGAGTTCTATGGAATATGGTTCCAGACGCCGAACGCTGTGGTCAACAAATGAAGGATACATTGTAACATTTATCTCATACACACCACTAATCATATAAGAGAGGCGGGCATTGCTCTATACACGCTACCAAAAGTCATTATACTAAAAGTCTAGCACAAGTAAGTCAATTGTCCTAATTCATCTAGGTTAATAAGGAGTGAAACGTATTAGTTATTCTAAACTATTCGTCTAATGAATTTAGTTGTATAAGGTCCTTGGGATAACATTTTTTTATATAACGCAGGTGTATACAGAGTAATACCCGCCTCTCTTACCAGTAGAGGGAAAAAAGGCTACAAGCAATAGAAATAGGTATCGCAAGGAAAAAGACACGAAAGTCGTGTGGTCCCTTGCAATCCGGGTATTCAAGTCGTAAAACCTCACAGCTAAATATGTGGAATTTATCCGCCTCGTATTTTATGATTCAACCATCTTTTTGCCTGTTCAGAGGCCTCAATTTGGGAAGTGATTCTCCACTAAGAAGTATACTAAAACCACTCTCTAAATCAACGCCTTCAAAAAACCAAGAAAGTCCAAATCCAAACAAAAACAACCAAACCTTCCCATTCCATACCCGTACCCATACCTCCATAGCAGTTCTACATCTCACACCAAAGTCCACGTCCCCCCCTCCCCCAAGTATGTCAACAGGTAGATCCTACTTCTCGCCCTCCCTTTTCCTCCCATCAAATTTCTTCCCATTCTGTAATTTCCCTCCCTCTCTCAGCATCTCCTGCTTCTTAATCTCAAGGTCCAACTTGCTCCGTTCCTGCAACCTTGAAGCCACAGTAATCAGTCACCTTTCCCCTCACATTTCATTTCATGCTCACGGTCCAAACTTACTTCTTCGACAGCGGACTTTTCCAGGCAGCAAGCATGACTAGTGTAGGCGGTGTCGCAGCGAGTATGAAGACTGTGAGTTTCGCCATGGCAAATTTCTTTTCTGCTTCTGTTTGGGGGAAATTTGGGGAATTTCATGGTCGGTGATTGGGTGGTAGATGGGGAGATCGTTGGTGGGATTTTGGTATGAGAGAAAGATTGAAATGAGGGAGCTATTGATTGGACTTTATAAGCCCCGTCGTCAATGAGCATACGGTAGAAATGATGTGTGTAGAGAAATCGAGAAGGTTTCGGAAGGAAAATGAATATGATCGCTTCGAATTGTATAGACAAAACTCGAAAAGCGTAGTATCTCGCTTAATGCATGTCAGTTCTCGCTAGAACAGCAGACATGTTATTGATAAAGACAACAGTGAATGAATCCTCCGCTTCACTGTCTATCTTCTTCACCAACAGCTGTTTAGAGAACTTCTCTGATGTTGACCAACAGTTGCAAAACAATCACTCTAGAAGAATCGTCTCTAGCACACGAATGCCCATTCACATATGCTCCAAACACATGAGCTACCAGTTGATTCCCAGGCTTCTAAAATAATCAAATAGGTTTGTGATTCCCTTTCTCTTCAACGACCATACATATATTTCTCGAAACATCTCCAAGTCCAGTTCCCTTCTTTCTTCATACAAACACACTCTACAGTCTCAAAGCAAACACACTTATTTCAACATAAACAACACAATCAACAAAGTCTTCATCAAACACGCACTCTCAAAGCCCCAACTCCTCATTCCTCATGTTTCTATCGCCATCCAACACATACCACCTACTAAGCACTAAGCCCCAAACACACCACACCACACCACAATCAAAAATGTCCAGCAAAGGCCAATCCTCCACCTCCAAGGCTACCCAACCAAAGACCTCTGGCTCTGTCTCTGGCAGTCAAACCCCGTCAGACAACCCTCAAAACCAAAATCCGCCGGACAAATAGCCTGGGAAAACTCCGAGGGTAGGAAAGCTCAAACATCAAATAATCCCAAAGATTTCGAGAAGCCCCTGGAAGCTGACGAGGATGAGACCGTCGCTGGACTTGCGGATGGTCAAGAATTCTGGCACCGACGGAACGATAACAATGGGCCCTATGAAGCTAGTAGGAAAGGATAGACTTGGTATGCTCTTACTATTTAGTTTGGTGAGAGAGAGGAGACCCCTGGTGGGATTCTCTCTAGGCTATGTGTTTAGCTACCATCTTTGGCGTTCTGGTATTGGATGGTTACTTTGGTGTTATCTTAATTCGTTGTTAGAGGAGTTCCCTGGCAGGATCTCCTAGGCCATGGGTCTAGTTACCATTTTTGGCATTCTGGTATGAGATGGATACTTTATTGTTATCTTCATTCATTATTAGACGAATCCCCTGGCGGGATCTCCTAGGCTATAGGTCTAGTTACCATTTCAGTTTTCTGGTATTAGGTAGACGCTTTAATATTATTATGACTTTATTATTAGAAGCTACTACAAACCCGATGATTTCCCCAAGTTCCTCAAAGTCTATTTTCCCTATTTACTTTACCGCCCAACTATTACTCGTCCAAAGTGCCCCCTCCTACTAAAAACCATCTACAAACGTCAAATGAAATCTACCTTCCGTATGTAAAACAGCTAGCTGTACAATTACTACTAGAGGTTACGCATTTAGTAGCTGTACTTATGTTCAAGAGTTGTAAAGATTTCACTCGTAGTAAAAGAAAGAGCATCGGCCGGCGTTCAGGGAGGGACACTTCAGACTTATGAACCTAACGAGTAAGTGCAGTGGACTCACAAACTCCTGATTTTAGAACCCAGCCCGCAGTACCGCAGGATCTCTCTCACCTCCTCCATCAACCCCAAATCCGGATCATCTAAAGCTCTTTTTCCTATTTATTTATTCATTCGCTAAAAGCAGATACTACTTCAACATCTTTATCCTCCACGAGCCTCTCCAAATCTTGCTTGGCCCTACAATTAATTCCCAGTGAGACAAATAAGCGAAAAGGCTTACTTACAATAGAATACCGTACTTTCCAACCCCCCACCCAAAAATGAACCTTGGGTATGTAACCCTCATATACTATATCCCCTGAACCAAGAAACCCCGCTTCAAAAACACAAGAACTCAAGAGAAGAAAAAAAAAAAATACACAAAGCATAATGGATATATATAAACATAAAAATAAAACACACGCTTTCTCCCCATGCTATATATAATATATAAAAATTAAAAAAGAAATCGTCAAATGCTCTCCCCATCATAAAACACATCCATCATCTAGTAGCTGGCAGGCTGTTGAGCCTTGAGCTGAAAGAATAGCTTATAGGTATGGGTATCCATTTCCTCCCATTCCCTCCACTCGTCCCCCTACCTATTGTAGGTCAAGTAATGTAATATAGGTAGGTGGTACTCTGTATGCTGTAATCTGCGCTTCCTTATATCCATCCATGCGTGTGGAACTCTCTCGAAAGAGGGGAGGAGGAGGAAAAAACCCCCATTTCTTTCTTTCTTTCTTTCTTTCTTCGAATCTTCGAATCTTCGAACCCTTAAAAACCCACTCTCCCACTCCCCACTTTCATATCCTCCCATGCCAATAAAGTTCTCCATTCAATCCAATACAAAATCTTACATGAAAAAAAATGAATGAAAAAAAAGTTTAAACCCCCACCCTTTCCCCCCCAAACCCATGAATCCAACCCAGCCATAAATTCTGATTCCTACCATCCACGACGACTACTACCTCTTCGACTACTGGAGCCAGAGTCATTACCTCCCCCTCGAGTTTCTTCGATGCTCCTCCGTGATTGATCCCGTCCAATCTCACTCATATCAAAAAGAAGCTCATCGTCTATTTCGTACGCACCAGCGGTCCTCGTGAAGCTGTATCTGCCACTACCTCTCTCACTAGTGCCGCTATTACTAGTAATGAGACTGGAATAGGAGCCCGTCTGTGGCGGTGTCAATCCACGTCCACCAGTTCGTCCGATTCTTGGTCGATATGGTGAATTTGTAGAGCCAGCTGAGAATCCACGAGGAGCCTGTGGAGCATCGGAATCATTCGCCTCTAGTGAGGATGAAGCTCGACGAGACATGTCTGTCGCGAGAGGAGCAGTTTGAAGGCGATTAGCCGACGAAGACGAAGCAGGCTCAACAGGCTCGGATGCCTGGCCAAGGCCGAGAAGGGCACTTAAGCTTGGTGGTTCTCGGTCATCAGCTCCCAGACTCATGGAACGATGAACACCAAAAGGGAGTTCCCCCATATCATCTTCAATAGGTAACGCCCGTTGTTGTTGCGCCACCGAGCTAGATCGTCGGGCATGGGGATAGTACGGTCTCGGTGACGTGGGAATATCAATAGCATTGGTGCCGAGGGGATTTACTTGGTCACCCGAGATATCTTCCGACTGTGACTCGGTCGTAGTTGTCCTATCACGAGAAGTAGCTGCCCTCCGAGGTACAGAATATTCCACTATGGAATTTGCACTTAATCTCGATGGTATGGCTGGGGTATGTGGAGTATGCGGTGACACTGGCTTCCCCGGAGACGATGAAACTGACATGGAATTGGCAGCTACCATAGGTGGTACACTTGATAATTGACGGCTCGAAGAGCTGGACGATCGGTGCAACATTGTTGACGAAGATATCGATTCTGTCAATACGTTGTTCGATTCACGCATAGATTGAAACTTTGAAAGCTGGGCACTTGTTCTCTTGGTTGATGCAGAACCCGATGGTTCAAAGCTCTGTAAGGTTTTCTTGCTATCCAGCAATTTTAGAAATTCCGAAATATTGTCATCGTCTGTTTGTAGTGATCCCGAACTACCACCCGTACCCCCTTCCGCAAGGATTCCGGAGCCAGGTTGCACAGAAGATGACAAGCTTTGTTTTCCGCTGCTACCTTGGTCATCGTCCACCACCCTACTTGCGCCACCAAAAGATGATCTTCCCCGACGGTGGGTGAAGCTACTGCCAAACCTACTTATAGGGGCGGGTTTGGGCGAGCTAGAAGTCGATGAAGTGATCGGATTATCTGTGATAATTGGGCCCCCCCTTAACGAAGCGGGCATCCCGGCTGTTAAAGACGAACGATTGCGAGCCGTTGTCAAGGCACTAAAGCCTGATCCCCGAGGTAACGACTGTGGAGATTGTGGCGGATTCATGTCCCCAATTCGACCTGGAGAAGAGGACAATGATCCCGCTTTGAAGGGTTGAAATGAGACCGATGGTCTTCTCGCCAGGGCAATGCCTTCTAATGACATCAGTGACGCTCGCGATTGATGTATTGGTCTATCTTTCTCCTTCGGTAATGATGGAGGTGAGCTTGTGTCCGAACCCATTGGACGAGCAGCACGAAGAGCAGATATGGGACTTGAACCTCTAGGCGGCACATCACCGTGAAACGTAGAAAGACTTCCATAAGCCTGCACTGGATTCTGTTCTTCCACAGACAGTCTATTGACAGGAAGTGAGCCGACTTCAACCGGTCTTAGACTCCGGTTTCGCTTATCAAGCCTCCCTCCTAGCGAAGGCTGAAAATAATGTTCATCTGCACCCATGAACCTCGAACTAAGCAGAGATTCGGAATCAACTACGCGAAAGTTGCAATCATTTCGGTAGGAGACTTCGGCGGAAAATTGTCCCACTGGTGTATCTGTTGTTCCGAGGGGGAATTTTGTGGTTACAGGTACAGCACCACCATTTCCGTGCAATGGATGAGTAAGCGGGTCAAATCGACCAGACTCGACGTCAGCGCTCAATATACGACACTTCACTCGCATCAAACTCTTTCCACTCTTGGCGAGGCCCTTTCCAAATTTCCACGTGGGGGTAAATTTGGAGGTAGTGTAGAGTGATCGGAAAAAGACAATACACTGCTTATAGACGGTTGGTAACGTCAAGCCGTAATCGTACGTTCCTTCCACTGGGTTGCCTTTTAGTTCGATTTTCCACCTTTCCAATATCACTTCTTTACTCCGATTCCGCATCCGAGAAGTCCCCTCCACCTGTCCATACGCCTCATTCAGTGCCTCGAGGGCATCCCATCTCTTTCCATTCTCATCCACAAACACTAATGTATGGCTGCTAGTCAAGGCCGAGGTGTCGAGATAGGTTTCGATAATTAGAGGTGGCGGGCGATTTTGTAGGCCCCCACAAGTTTTCCACATACTCAATTCATCGCGAAAAGAAGTGGTGTCGTCGGTCTCGATTTGAAACTACTCGGTATTATTACTCTGGCACTTGGATATCGACCATTGGAATCACCTACCCATTTGTTGACTTTCTTTGTACCGTCCTTACCTATCATGATGGACAAGGACATCCTCGACTGCAATATGACAATAGCCGCTTTTGTGTGGAAATTCTGTGGAGCATGCAGTTAGCTAGGATATTCCGAGCAGCTGGTAGACGTATATCCCCCCGTACCTGTATTACTTGGTCCAACTTCTTCACAGCATCTTTACTAGGACCATTCGAAGGCATCACACCACTATCACTACTCCCATCATCTCCTTCACTCGACCCGGGCATGTCTGGAATTATTCGTGTGTATGGATTTGGATTGTAGCCTTCTTCTCTCGGGTTGTTCGTTCGAGTTGGGTTTGTGCGTGGGGACGAAGCCGGTGATGCCGTCACCGGTGATGGGCGAGGGTGTTGATGCATTTGGATTGTTGTGCCTTCAACCAGGACTTTTATTTTGAGAGTAGCTGTCGTTGCGGTAGCGAGAAGCGATGTACTGAGGATCGTTCTTCGTACGCACTTTCACGGCAGCAATCGTAGGGCTAGATTTCAATACACGCAGGACCGGGATACCTCATGATGTGGGCATCCATCGTACTCTCGTCGACTTTTCGAATGTAACCGGAGGCTGGTCTGGATGTGTGATGGGATGGGACGTTCTCCTGATGTTGTCTATCAACTACTCCAGGGAAAGGGCAAGCAAAGGCGAGCGAACTGGGGGCCTACACAAGCTCAGGCAACGAGCATGATACAGGGATCTTGGGCCTTCTTGGGGGTGTATTTTCCGGTGGTGAGATATCCAACAATGCAATGCCTATTTCCCCCGAGGTTGACGTGCGCCGGACTCGATGTTAGGTGATGGGAGAGATAGAGGCTCAGGCTCAGGCTCAGGCTCAGATAGCGATGACTAGAGTCATGCTCCACGGGCTCCTCGTGATCGCAGCGCTTAGGAGAGAGAGCTCTACAATAGGCGGTGGATGATGGGGATCTGGGGAAATGCTGGGCACGCAGCCGACGAGGTGGGAGCGGCGTAGTGGAGGCAGAGGGGAGAGGGGAGAGGGCGATGGAGGGCAGTGTCTCTGGAGGGGAGATGAAGATGTAGATGAGGCAGAGGCAGCAGCAGCAGCAGCAGCACAGCAAGAGAGACTTCACCAAGTCGAAGTGCAGTGCAGTGCAGTACACAGTATAATTTCTGGCGAAGCGTCGCTAGAGAGCTGGACGGGCGTTGCGCTGCGTTGCCGGGGCCGGGGAGCTTTGTTGGATGCTCCTGGTCTACTGGTCCTGCAGATGGCTCAGGCCTGAGTCAAGGCATTCGCGCACCCGCATTTCTATACGACCCATTGATTGGTCGGCCTGATAAGCGTCTCCAGGTTCGGCTATCAGTGCCAAGGGGTAGTGCACGTTGCGCTAGAGGACCTGTGCACTAGGCTTTCTGGCCTTCTCTGCCATCGCTGCTGCCGCGAACGAAAGGGGAAGCGGTTGCAGTAGCAGTGGCAGTAGCAGTGGCAGTAGCAGTGGCTGCGAACGACTCTTTTCTGGCGCTGTCTGTACTGCTCTACTGCTCCAAGCAGACTCGACAGCCTTTCAATGTAAATCCCCAGGCCAAGGCTGCACTCGGGTATCACATCTCCAACACCGTCTGGATGACAGTACAGTGTATGGACCATAGTGTCTTGGGGTGTGGTGTACAGTGTACAGCACGATACAGCCTACCAGGCTACCTACAGATCACAGCATCTCCACCTCTCTACCTCTCCACACCCTACAAGGCCTGCCATTCTCCCCTGCCATGCCGCTGATGCCAACCCATGAGCTCTCTGGTCCGCATTCCTATTGGCCCTACTCGACAGCAGTGACCTAGAGCTTCAAGTCAACACACTCACCCTCACACCACCTGCACTCCTGTTGTAGGTGGTATCGCACTCTATTCGGATCAAAGAGGCATGAGAACCGTCGTCGTACCGTCCCCAGACCACCCTAACCTTACCACTTCATCACTCTACTACCGCTCGACCACTCATCACTCTCGCCTTGTGGTGGGCATTCCCTGGTTAAGGCTGACAGTCCGTGGTCGGAATACGACTCCAGAGGCAGACTCGTCGAGATGCCATCCATCACCAGCCCAGTCTACGCATACTAGCACTTGTACACACACGAGGGTACACCTGCTCTCGGAACTGATCTAGCCAATACCACTCACCCTCGGTAAAAGGATACGGCTTTCCAGATCATCTATATCATACTGAGCATATGAGTACGCAGAAACCGAGTCAGCGTCAGGTGCAAAGCGGTCCTCTTATCTTCCTTATCAGTCCCTCCAGATACGCTCCACATCAGCTGATCAGCATAATACGTCAATCTTCGAATCAAGATTGATAAATCAAGAGGGACGTGAGGTGTCATCATATTTGGCAGTTATCACAGTGAGATATCTCCTGTGGACCGGCAGAATGCCCGAGATCCGCATGGAGCTGGAAGACGAAGAGAATGCCACGTGACTTGTGTTCCTGACCGAATTGACCGAGTGCTTGAAGGGGAAGTTGTTATATTTTCGCCCCCTTTTGGATCGATCGATCAATGGATAAAAGAGGGGTTGATAACTGGTCAAGCTTCGGTAGCGCATCTTGGATATCCAACTTACTGCGGCCCGTTTTGTGGATTTTGATATACATTATCATGTTACTATCCTCCAAGGCTCTTTGTCGGCGTATGAGAGGGTAGCAATTGAGTTGTAAAACATCTTGCTACTAGGTCGCAATACCATATTTCACCTGCAACTTTCCTTCAGGGTATTATCTTTCTCGACCAGCAGAATCAACTCTATCGAATAGCAAGGTTTATGGACCACAAGGAAGGCAACCACATGCAGGTCCACCAGAAGTATCACCACCTCGCCGGCCCACCAACGACAACTTTTCAACCAAACTCAATTATCAGGGCGGTTCGGTTAGTTCAATGAATCTGGAACACATACCTATACGACACAATACTCCCACGGATCAACAAAGAGAAGCTTCATCTCACAATCGCATATCCTCAACCAAGGAGAAGTTGTTCTCGAGAAACATCCAGCTCATTTGTTCACAACCATAGCTTCAAAAGTCCGTGTCGATCCTAGACAGTTCAGCACCCCCCCAATTCCCAGCAGGAATCTACTAGCATCAAATAATTCCTCAGAGACAGTGTGAACAGAGCTCCGTGTACTGTCTCGATAACATTCTGACTCAGACCGAGAAACTATACAGATCAAAGTTCGATATCATAGGTAACCATATGCAAGTACCCAAGATATCTCTCTTCTACCTAGATAGCTATAGTAGGAAAAGGGGCTAGGCAACTTAGTTAATCCACCCTAAACGCGGAACGAATATAGGTAGGTTTATATATAGAGACCGATACTTATTTTATATTATTTCCCCCGATTTCGTCTAATGATTTTATATATAAGTAAGACGCTCGAAATCGCTTAGCTTAGTAACAGTACCTACTATACTATAGGTAAAAATAGTGGAAATTACTATATATATACCTTATACTTATTTATACTATCGAAAGTTAATATTCTAAAACCCTAGTGTAAGTACCTACCCATAAATTACTTATTCTATAAGTATTTTACCTTTATATTTATCTAGTTTAAGATAAAGTAAAAAGTAAAAAATTAATACTTATTTAACTTTAATTCTAAGTAATAAAACTAAGTAATAATTCCTTTAAACTATAAGTATTTATATACTTATTTTAGATTATTAGTTATATAAGTATTAAATCTTTAATTAGATAAGTTCTCGAGTAGAATAATATTTTTATAATTTACTAGATAACCTAGGTAAGTATGTATTATATAAAGTAATATATACTTGTTTACCTACCTCTATCTCTTATATAAACTATATACTTATATATATCTATTTATTAGAAACTACCTAGATAAGTAGTAAGTAGATTATACCTACTTATACTTATTATACTTCCGGATTTAGGGTAGATTATTCGATTATCTAGCCCCTTTAGCTAGGTATATATTATATATATTGTGACGGTTATGGTCACGAGGGCTGGATGTCACATGCTCGCTTAGCGAGGCGCTAGCGCGCACGACCTGTATTTAGTTCCCAGCTCTCTCGAGCTCTCCTTCTTTCCTCGTCTTTTGTCCTAAGAATAGAGTGTTAATTGTTCTGAGTTCTACCTGAAGCACGTCTGTCACATTACAAAAGACCCTTAGTTGAGGCTAAGTATCCCAGGTCTAAGTTCACGTTCACGTCCAAGTTCAGGTCCACGATCTTACGTCTCAATTCTCACGATTTCTACCACTTTCTTGTGCGCAAGAACCCTACACTTTACAACACGACGAAACCTCTTCTTTTTTCGACTTCTCTACAATGGATGCCCTTCAAGTTCAGTCCGCCATCGCTGAGTTGCAAGCTGAAGTCCAGCGACAGCGCGACGAGATTCACTTACTCCGGTCAAGAACATCCGCAAAGCCTAAACCTTCCCTCCCAGACCCTGACAAATTCACTGGCCAGGCTCATAAATTCGACACCTGGCTTCCCTCAATCAAAGCAAAGCTACGAGTCGACGGTACAGCTATTGGAGACGCTATTGCGCAGTTCTACTACGTCTACCTCAACCTTGACTCCCACGTCCAAGCCATGGTCCTTCCACAGCTCTCTCAAGCAGAAGACACCCAAAGCTGGGACTACCAAACAATCCTCGAACAGCTCGCGCGCGTGTACGACAATCCAAACAAGGTACAGGAGGCGGAAGACAAGCTATTTGCCCTCAAGCAAGGTGCTGACTCAGTCCCTACATATATCGCCAAGTTTGAGCGTGTCCTTTACGAAGCAAGAGGTCAGGACTGGCCAGATGTCAACAAAATTTCCACCTTTAGGAATGGCCTTAATTCTACTCTTCGCGGACGACTTTCTCAACAACTCAACCTACCTCGCGATTATACTACATTCATACGCGTCGTACAACAATTAGCAGGCCGCTTCTCTTCGTCTACACAACCTACACAGTCCTACTCCTCTGGCAACCACCACAGCGAACCAATGGACATAAATGCTTTTAGCATCAATTCCATCGACCCATCCTCTCCTCCACGCGCTCGCTCTATTTCCCCTGAGCGTAGAGATCAATATAGAGCTGAAGGCAGGTGTGTACGATGTGGCTCCTTGGAACACTGGGTCAACGATTGCATACTCCGTCCTTTCTCACCAGGACCACAAGGAAGGAAATCAGCCATAGATTTGGGGGATCTACCAGCTGGGGAGGCATTCCCAAAGCCAGTACGAAAGCAGATTGCAAGACCAGGCAGAGTAGTAATAGCAGCTATGAACGACAATGCTTACGATAGCGCGGAGGTAGATTCGGACGATCCTGACCATCCAGATGCCTGGCAAAAGGGTATTTTTCACAATTAGTTCAGATTTTCAACGCTCGGGGCGAGCTCTTTTTAAAGGGGGGGGTGATGTGACGGTTATGGTCACGAGGGCTGGATGTCACATGCTCGCTTAGCGAGGCGCTAGCGCGCACGACCTGTATTTAGTTCCCAGCTCTCTCGAGCTCTCCTTCTTTCCTGGTCTTTTGTCCTAAGAATAGAGTGTTAATTGTTCTGAGTTCTACCTGAAGCACGTCTGTCACATATATTCCTTTTTTTAATATAACTTTTAAGCGAGCTTTCTTATCTACTATAAATTTTATCTTACTACCTATCCGAGAACGGGTATTCTAATATCGTATTAACGAAACCTACTTATTACTATATAAAATCAAGTTCTTATAAAATAATATAGAATAGAACTCCTGACTCTGTCACGCGTTTCATGTATTTCCATTTCTACCAACCACTCAAGAATACAAAAAATCTATATACAACCCCCCACCAAAACAAAAGAATTATATACGTGAAGCTCCCTCGCCCTTTTCTCTTCCCCTTCCCCTTCCCCTTCCCCTTCCCCTTCCCTGGCCTTGATTCTGATTCTGATTCAAATTCATACCACCCCTCCCCTTCCCACCTCTTCCTCCCCC